TGGAGGAACTTTGCCACCACTCTGAAACATCAGAGGCGTGAATTCTCTGTGGAGGATGTCATTGGCCATCTGAGTGTTGAGCAGAATTCAAGGGCAAAAGACTCGCACGGAAAAGGGGCCGAAGGGACTTCTGTTGCCAACATGGTGAACCAGAAGAACTTCAACTCCCACAAGCCCAAGGGAAAGAACGGTGTCCAACACAATACCGACTTTAAGAAGAGAAGACCTTCAAGAAGAATAAGAAGGACGAGGGCTGCTTTACTTGTGGTTCGGTTGAACATTGGGCCAACAAGTGCCCAAACAAGTACAAGAAGTCAGGACAGGACTCCAAGTCTGTCAACATGATTGTGGGCAACAATGAGAATGGTGCATCTGGGTATGGTAATTTATTTACTGTTTTTTCAGTGTTTCAACCCAACGATTGGTGGGTGGACACAGGTGCAGGTGTTCATGTGTGTGCTGACATTTCATTGTTCACTTCTTACCAGGTCACAGGTCACGGGTCCGTATTGATGGGGAATGGCGCGAGTGCTTCTGTTCATGGTGTTGGCACGGTCGATCTGAAGTTTACTTCGGGAAGGATCGTGCAGCTGAAGAACGTGCAGCATGTCCCCGCCATCAAGAAGAACCTCGTTAGTGGCTCCCTTCTATGTAGAGAAGGGTTTAAGTTGGTTTTCGAGTCTAATAAATTAGTTGTTACAAAATATGGACTCTTTGTTGGAAAAGGTTATGAGAGCGGAGGGATGTTCCGCCTTTCCCTCGCAGATTTTTGTAATAAAGTCGTGAACCATATTCATTCGAATGTTAATGAATCTGAAGTTTGGCATTCACGTCTTTGTCACATTAGTTTTGGTGTTATGATGCGGCTAGCCAAGTTGGATTTAATCCCGAGTTTCACTTTAGCCAAAGGTTCTAAGTGCCTTTCATGTGTGCAAGCTAAGCAACCTCGCAAGCCTCATAAGGCCGCGGAGGAGAGACACCTGGTACCATTAGAACTCATACATTCTGATCTTTGTGAGATGAATGGTGTGTTGACTAAAGGTGGAAAGAGATACTTCATGACATTGATAGATGATTCCACTAGATATTGCTATGTGTATCTGTTAAATACTAAAGATGAGGCTCTACACTACTTTAAAATCTATAAGGCAGAAGTTGAAAATCAACTTGAAAAGAAAATTAAACGAGTCCGGTCAGATCGTGGTGGAGAGTACTTCTCGAGTGAGTTTGATTCCTTCTGTGCGGAACACGGCATTATTCATGAGAGGACGCCTCCCTATTCACCCCAGTCAAACGGGGTTGCCGAGCGGAAAAACCGTACTCTGACTGATTTGGTTAACGCCATGTTAGATACATCGGGTTTATCCAAGGCATGGTGGGGGGAGGCTATATTGACGGCATGTCATGTCCTGAATAAAGTTCCGACAAAGGATAGTGAGATCACTCCCTATGAGAAATGGGCAAAGAGAAGGACGACACTCTCGTACTTGCGCACTTGGGGCTGTTTGGCGAAAGTCAACGTGCCGATCCCCAAAAAGCGTAAGCTTGGACATAAGACCGTGGACTGCATTAATTTGGGCTACGCTAAGAACAGCGTTGGCTATAGATTTCTAGTAGTGAAATCAGAGGTACCTGACCAGAAGATCGGTACAATTATGGAGTCTAAGGATGCTACATTCTTTGAGGATATTTTTCCTATGAGAGATATGCAAAGCACTTCTAGACAGGAATCTGAGGAGACTCCTGAACCTGCCATCCCTATGGAATATTATGAACAAACACATGATGAAAATCCCGAGGAGGATGACGAGGAAACCCTTGGTAGGGGCAAGAGACAAAGGACTGCAAAGACCTTTGGTGATGATTTCTTCGTGTACCTCGTGGATGATACTCCCACTTCTATTTCAGAAGCGTATGCCTCTCCAGAAGCTGACTACTGGAAGGATGCGGTCCGTAGCGAGATGGATTCCATCATGGCTAACGGGACATGGGAGATCACTGACCGTCCCTATGGTTGCAAACCACTGGGATGTAAGTGGGTGTTCAAAAAGAAGCTTAGGCCCGATGGTACGATTGAAAAGTACAAGGCTAGGCTTGTGGCCAAGGGCTATGACCAGCAAGAAGAGGAAGATTTCTTTGATACTTATTCACCTGTGGCTCGACTGACCACCATTCGAGTATTACTCTCGTTGGCGGCCTCACATGGTCTTCTCGTCCATCAGATGGATGTTAAGACGGCTTTTCTAAATGGAGAGCTAAAGGAGGGAATCTACATGCAACAGCCTGATGGCTTTGTGATAGATGGTCAGGAAAGAAAGGTGTGTAGGTTGATAAAATCTTTATATGGCCTGAAAGAAGCACCTAAGCAATGGCATGATAAGTTTAATACAACTCTGACATCTGTTGGTTTCGTTGTTAATGAGGCTGACAAATGTGTATACTATCGCCATGGTGGGGGCGAAGGAGTTATACTGTGCTTGTATGTTGATGACATACTGATATTCGGAACAAACCTCAAAGTCATTGAGGAGGTCAAATCGTTTCTATCTCAGAACTTTGAGATGAAAGACCTTGGTGTGGCTGATGTTATCTTGAACATCAAGCTACTGAGAGATAATGAGGGTGGGATCACACTTCTGCAATCCCATTACGTTGAGAAGGTGTTGAGTCGTTTTGGATATTCGGACTGCACACCATCTCAAACATCATATGATCCTAGCGTATTGATTCGAAAGTCCAAAGGCATGGCTAAAGATCAATTGAGATACTCTCAAATCATTGGTTCACTGATGTACCTAGCGAGCGCAACGAGGCCTGACATCGCGTTTGCTGTGAGCAAACTGAGCCGCTTTGTTTCCAAACCGGGTGATGTACATTGGCATGCTGTTGAGAGAGTTATGCGCTATCTGAAAGGTACTATGAACTATGGACTTCACTATACCGGATACCCGTCGGTACTTGAAGGGTATAGTGATGCGAATTGGATCTCTGATGCTGATGAGATGAAGGCCACAACTGGGTATATGTTTACTCTTGGAGGTGGCGCTGTTTCCTGGAAGTCTTGCAAGCAAACGATCTTAACGAGATCGACAATGGAAGCAGAATTAACGGCATTAGACACATCTGGTGTTGAAGCGAGATGGCTTCGAGATCTTTTGATGGACTTGCCATTGGTTGATAAACCGGTTCCGGCTATCCTTATGAACTGTGACAATCAGACTGTCATCACCAAGGTGAAGAGTTCAAAGGACAACATGAAGTCCACCAAACACATAAGAATGAGATTAAAAGCTGTCAGAAAATTAAGAAACTCCGGAGTGATAGCGCTGGACTATGTCCATACGGCTAAGAATCTGGCAGATCCCTTTACAAAAGGGCTATCACGTGTTGTGATAGATAATGCATCGAGGGAGATGGGTATGAGACCCACATGAGTTGCCATGGTGGTAACCCAACCTATATGATCGGAGATCCCGTGAACTAGGACCTGGGAAAACAAGCCAGTGGTGAACTGAGGAGAGTAACTATACTAACCCACTCCGTTGGAGATGCAATACTCTCGATACTGTATGGTAGGATGACTATGGTCTCAATGTGTTCCAAAGCTTATAAAAGCAAGATGCTATCCTACAGAGCGATCTTTGGAGGAACACACCTATATGAGCCCGACTGCTGGTCACAGTCTATGAGATTGGGGTGATTTCTAGTAAGCTCATGAATAGGCCAGGAGTGTGACTTATATGCTCCACCCGAGGGGTCAGCCTTCGGTAGCCTAGTACTAGTAAGACATGTAGTGAAACTTCTTTACGCCAAACTGACAATTCAAGGCATAGTCCATTGTTCAGTTGTGAAGGAGTGTAGCCACTTGTTCTAGGTGAAGTTCAACCTTAACAGGTCTTTACTGAAACACTGGTATATCGAAACAGCAATTGGAACAGAGGACACAATGGGCCCTCGAGATCTGGTGGGGGATTGCTGAAATCTGAGATGGGCTCTAGGCCCATATTGCAATTTCTGAAAAATCTCTAAGGGCCCATGTGGGTTATATGGCACTAGGTGTGGTGGGAAGTTTAGTCCCACCCCGGAAGTGGAAGGAGAGTTGGAGTGGTTTATAAGGGTTTCTCTTCTACATGCTATTGGAGCTTGAGAAGAGAAGAGGCCCTCGCGCACTCCTCCTCCGCCGCCCGCCTCGTCACGATGCGCCGCGGGTTGCGGGATTGAGCCGAGCCGAGCTCACACCTACGCGCTTATTTTTGCCAGTCACTAACGGAGAGTTTTCTGACAGCTGGGCCACGATCTGAGACGTCGGATCGTGGGCTGTCACGGACTCGGACGTGGGTCGAGCCCACGTCTCTCCACGCGGCTGCGCCTATAAGTATGCGGTGTCTCCTAACCCTAGCCGCCACGAACAGATCACATCTGCTCACGCGCACGCCCACCGTCGTTCCTTTGCTGCTGCTGCCGCCGGTGACTCCATCCCGTCCGCCACGTACACGGTCGACGGGAGAGCAGGTCTCCGAAACCACGCCCTTCTGGTTCCTGTACGGGGTGAGGGGCGAATAGGTTTTTGGGCAGCGATTACGCGACTGCTCGCTTCCGATCGTCTACTTCCTCTACGTCCGCGTCGCCTTCGTCATCACCATGTCCACCGACGCCGATCGTGCCGCCGCCGAGAAAGCTGAAGCCGACAAGAAGGTCGCCGAGGACGTCGCTGCTGCCACCAATGCCGCGGCCTCTGCGTGGCCTACTGGAGGGTATAACTCGTTTATCCCGCTCCTGATTATTTTCATATTAGCAGTACTAGCAGTATGTGTAGATTTGTCTACTGCTTGCTTAGTACGTGCATGTTTAGATCAGAGTGAGTACGTCATCAACTTAGTCAATGCCATGCTAGTGATTTACTCATGGATTAATTTAATCGAGAAATTGCCTATTTACTCAACAATGCCCGGTTCAAAAAAAAATGATTACGTACTGACAAACAGCTTAAGCATGCTCACTTTCAGACGGCTTACGGCCATGGTGACCACGCTGTACAAGACGTGGAAGACGGCGAGCACGAAGATGAATATGTGCAGCTGGTGCATGCTCCCGGCCGACATCAGCGCCACCTTTCCCAGCAAACACCGATCAAGTCTGTCAAGCTAAGCCAAGAAGCTAGAGAAGAAATTCAGGTCGTCGATCGTTCATGTTCATGCTCGCTCACCTGTTTGGCGCAGACGTCCTCTCCGGCCGGGGCAGCCAGGAACCGGCGGTGGGTGTCGCCTTGGAGCCAGAGGAGCCTCCGGCGGCTGCCCTTGGCATCGTCGCCAGCGTAATCAGCTTCGGGCAGCTTGCACGGGAGCATCTTGCTGCCGGCCTCCACGGAGATGCATATCTTGGAGATGGGGTCCTGCGCCACGGTGAGGAGCAGGGATATGAAGCCCACCAGCATGAGCTCCGCCTTCATCTTCTCCAGCGCCTCCCCCATGGCCTTCTTGTGCCGCTTGTGGAACCACTGCGCGCACGCACGCCAGCAATGAGCAAGTACACGAAATCATCAGAGGGCAGCTTAAAAAAAATGAGCAAGTAGACAATGTCATAAAAAATGCACAGCAATGAGTAGTTCCGGACGTACGTGGCCGAGGTTGTGGAGGGCGTGCTCCATGGCGACCGAGACGAGTATCATGACGGCGCAAACGAGCGCCACCGCCCACGTCGGCGTGTCCGGCAGCTCCCGCCCTCCCGCCGGCCCCGCCATTGGCCCGCCGCTCAAACGACCACCTCGATCGATCGACGAGACACGCGCACAAATAAGTACCAGTCGTCTCGTCTGGACGAAGGAGCTATCTACGTGCCGGGCCGGAGCAAGCAAAGCAAAATGAATGGAAGGAAAAAACACACGCTACGCTACGCTCTCGGTTGCGTGAATGGCGGACTGAAGTGCGGTCTGTGTGGCCGGACCGGTGAGAGCAAGCCGGGCTTTTATGGATGAGCGGGCGAAGTCTCCGTCAACGGCGGCGGGGTGGCAGGCAGCCGCGCTGCGGTTTCGCCGACGGCCACGAGTGGTCCATCTCCATGCATGGCGAGCCCGTGGTGCCGCACCAGACTCTACTACTACTAGTAGTACCGGAGTATGCATGGACGTGACCGCAGTTTTGTTGCCATCCGGCACGTCGATGCCCGGCGGGTACTGACGGTTTAATTGTCGGGACCGGGACGGGACCGGCCAGGAAAGTCAGGGGAGTGCGAGACCGCCGCCGGCTTCACGGTGGTTTCGGAGAGGTAAACACGTGCGTGCAGTGCAGCGAGGGGCAGCCACACACACACGGGGCCTCGAGAGCATCAACACCCGAACTTTGCAAAATCGACCCCACACGACGACATGAGAGCATCCACATCCGGACTTTACAAAATCGACCACTCAAACGCCCACCCATGCAACGTGAAGATAAAATCACGTAGATCATCACACGAACTATGAAACGGAGCTAGATATGCACATTCTGATCACTAAAAAATCACAGATGGATCTCAAAAAGATACTGGAAGTTTACATAATCCACACGCGTCAGACAGGTTCTAGCTAGAGACATAAATAACTAGAAATTAACAAGAAAGACGACAGAGATTCATCACTTCCTCGCCGGTCCTTTCCCCTTCCGGTCGTCGGCAGTTGGTGGAGGAGAGCGAGTGAGGTAGGGTTTCGAGCACGAAGACAGATTCAAGTTTTTTGTGAGACAGTGATGGGGTCGATGATGGGCCGGACCTATCAGACGGACACGCCCGGACGAGTCCGGGCATCCCCGTATCCGTCCTACATTTGGAGCGGATACAAGGGGCGCCGGACAGCCCGAGCATTTGAGGCCGGTCCGAGACGCCCGGCTCGGTCGAATTTTTGTGACCGGTTCGCCCGCCCAGACGTTTGGAACGGGTTTGGCCGCCCGGTTGTAGATGCTCCGATATAGCACATGGGCGGGGAAAATACAAAACACCAATAACTTCTTTGTAAATAGCATGTCAATATACATACCGCGGACCTGACAACTTAGGTACAAAACACTGCGGTAATTTGACCTGGCGGAAAAAAGTTGTTGAAAACATACCTCTGTAACTTCTGTGTAAATACCATGGTAATATATGCACCGCGGACGTGATAACTTTAGGTACAAACACCACGATAACTTTGACCCCGGTTAATAAGTTGTTGAAAACACACACCCCGTAATTCTTGTACAAGTATCATGGTAATATAAGCATCGCAGACTTGATAACATAGCTGCAAACACCACGGTAACTTAGGCCCGGATAAAATGTTATTGAAACATACCACAGTTACTTATATGTAAATAGCATGATAATATATGCACCACAGATCTGATAACTTAGGTACAAATACCACGATAACTTTAGCCCAAAGGAAAGAAGTCGTTGAAAACATACCCTGGTCACTTTAGTGTAAAACAACATGGTAATTTACACACCGCCGACCTGATAACTTACATGCAAACACCCCGGTAACTTTGAACCAAGGGAAAAAGTAGTTGAAAACATACCCCAGAAATTTCTGTATAAATACCATGATAATTTATGCATAGAGTTGATAACTCGGATACAAACACTGTGGTAACTTTTATAACCCGGAAAAAAAGTTGAAAATTGCCCCGATAATTTCTGTGTAAATAACATGGTAATATATGAACCGCATACCTGATAAGTCAACATAAACACCACGGTAACTTTGATCCTGGGGCGAGGGAGTGGGGAGGGTTGTTTGAAAACATACCCCGATAACTTCCTGTAAATAAGATGGTATTATATGTATCATATACTAATAACTCACGTACAAACACCATGGCAACTTTGACCCCTGAGGGAGGGGGGAGGAGAGTTATTTGAAAACATAACCCTCCTTCCCGATAACTTTCATGTAAATATTATGGTAATATACGCACCGTAAAATTGATAACTCACGCACAAACACAGTGATAACTTTGACCCAGGCAGAAGAAAGTTGTTTGAAAACATACCTCGGTACTTTTCTGTATAAAATAACATGGTGATATACACAGAACATAACTGATAACTTACTTATTGTGGCAACTTTTGACCCAACAAAAGTCATCAAAACATAAACATGAGATTTAGTTTCGAAAATATTGTGACGATGGATTTTTGATGTGAAAACGATATCCAAATGTAACGATAGTTTGAGCTATAAAACATTCAGAATTTTCGAAATAGTGAGAGTCTAAGATGACATCAACTTTTTCAGTCTTCTAGTGCATTTGCATGTGGAAAAAAATGTTTGGAGGAGTCATTTTTATGCCCTGCTAATTTCTATGTAAACTTGATGGTAACTTATGTGTCACGGACGTGATAACTTAGCCCGAGTCTGATAATTTTTTACCCGAGATTTTGTTTTTGAAACATATCTATATGGGATCTAGTTTCGAAGGTCTTATCGTGACGAATCTTTTATGTGAGAACGGGTTTTCAATCGGACCGATGGTTTGATCTATAAAACATTTTCAATTTTGAAATTAAAAGAAATCTAGGCTGACATCATCAGTTTTTTTTCTACATGCATGTATATATGTGCTAAAAGGAAGGAGGAATTTACGTGAGAAAACCAGAAATGCTGCGTACACTCGTTCGATCATTCGGTTGTTCGATTGTTCGGATATGTAGCTAACTTCTGAACAATTGTAGTAGATCTGATGGGATTCTTCTTGATAGTGTTCCACACTGCTTGGCCAATTTTGTAATGAACGATTGTAAATAACATTTTTACTTAATTAATATATGGGGGGTTTTTCAAAAAAAAAAATGTCACTTGAAATGCATGCATCTTCTCAAGTTGTGTGTGTGTCTCGGTCCAAGAAATTACCTAATCATCAGTGGCCGAGCCGGTTAGCAATGTTGGCGTTTCTGACGGACTGTCCCGTGCTAGCGGAAGCAGCAGACATTGATCTGCAGCAGGACGGCGGCTGGGGCGATTGGCCAAAGGCCGGGGAGCACTACTAGGAACGGTGCGGTGGACCGGCGGAGCTAGCACGGCTCAGCTTGCAGGCGGGGCTGGACTAGAGAAGAGCGACGGCATGCGGCGAATTGCAGCAGATGCCATCAGCGCATGGGAGGATGGAGAAGCGAGAGGCGGCCTGTGCGTGGCGTAGGACCGTCGGCGGAAGCGAGGGACTAGTCGCGGCCCTAAGCTAGGCTTCATATCTAAGAGCATCTTCGGCCGTTCGGCTCCTCAGAACGCTAAAAAAGACGGTTTGAGGGTGAACCGGCGCTAGTTCGGTCCCTGGGGCGACCTAGCTCCCAGTCACGTCCCAGGCGTCGCCCCCATGACGTGGAAAATTTGAACTTGATCGCAAGCCACAGTTCGGCGTATAAAAAAATAGAGCGGCAGAAGTTCGCGTGTGCAACGCATCACTCGGCGGACTCTGCCCCAGGCGTCGGCGGAGTTGGCGTGCGCGGGCTTGGCGGTGTCGGAACAGCTTCTGCGCTGGGCGGTGTCGGCGCGGCTTCGGTGGTGCTGGGCGTCGTGGAGGCGTCAGCACACTGGCTTGGCGGCGGCGTCGACGTCGACAGCCTTGTCGAGGGAAGCTGGTTCAGGATGAGGCCACGCTTCGCCAAGTACCACGCCTTGACCGCCTCGTTGGTGCTCTGGAACATGTCCACCCCGTCCAACAGGAAAGTCAGGCCGGTGTTTCTCTTTTTCGCGACGACGTTCGTCCGGAGCAGGTCGAGCTTGACGGCGCTGCTCGACATCAACGCCGACCACCGCGCCTCGATCTTCTCTTCACGAAGGACGGCCCGGGCCTGCGCGTCGGCGAGGCAGTGCTCGATGGACTCCTGCACTCGAGCAGTGGCCACGTCGGCATATTTTCCCTTCTTGGCAACTTTGTTGCCGTCCGGCCGCCCTTCCGATGCACCAGGAGTCGGCGCGTCCGGCTTGTAGGTCTCCTTGGCCTTGTCGAGGGTGCGCCGGACTTCCGCCCACTTCTCGCACTTGTCAATGCGCTTGTAGACGTGGAGGTACTTGAATTCGGCGTCGCTGTTGCTCTGCCGGTACAGGGCAAACATGCGCAGCAACTGCGCGGAGGAACAAACAGTTGGCGCGCGTACACGGCGAAGAGAGGCGGGAGACCGGCGTGGCATACCTGATCCTCGACGCTGGCACCGCTCTCCGGGTGAGCCGCGACCTCCTCGACGACCCCATGCCATTTGTTGCACGCCCCCAATGGTTCGCCATCGCCTTGGAGCCGCGCTGCATGTAGACACCTTTGAAGTAGGGGTCGACGAGTTTGCGCTCGTCGAACTCGGCCTTGATGCGGTCCCAGTACGTGTCGATGCTCTGGTTCGTGTCGGTCGTCGGATCGAGGCAGACGACTTTCCATGCTTCGGCGAGGCATTCCTCCTCCTTGGACTCCCACTTGATGCGCGGCTCGCCTGTCCTGGCAGCCCGCTTCTTCTTCTTGCGCCCCTTGGCCGACGCGGGCATCGGCTCCTCCTCTTCTTCCTCCTCCTCCTCCTCCTCCTCCTCCCGCTCCTCCTGCTCATCCTCGCCGTAGACGTAGCCAAGCTCGCCGTCCATGCCGCCGCTGAGATCCACGACCTCGTCCTGGGTGACGAACCCGGGAGACGCGGCGGCCGCGACCGAACTTGCCGCGATGATGTCGTCCATGTCGGCCTCGGTCTCGTCGGTGTTGCCGAGGTGCGAGAAGGGCAGCGGGCCACGGCATAGCGGGGGTG